CAGTACACGTTATTTTCATAATCATTAAAGAAGTTGCTTGTCAGATATGGTTTAAAAGTTAAGAATAACTGTAACGATCCCACAACAATTATAAAAATAGCAAATTCTCAAAAAGCGTTATTTTATATGACTAGATACTCGTCTTGTGAAATCATAAAGAATAATGAAGATTATCTTAAGTATATATTAATTAAGATATTGTGCATTTCTTACTGAACAAAACTTTTTCAAAATTACAATTCTCATTTTCTTATAAGATATGTTGTTATCATATATATTACAAAAAAAAGCAAAACTTTTTTCAATTTAAATATTTAAGTTTATTATATCTTCCTGAATTCAAGCAATTTTATTCATATTTTAGTTAAAATACAAGTGGCACAAAAATTTCACCCTTGTCATATTTAAATGCATACATAAAGCTTTAAAATGCGCAATTATAGAAAGATATAATACGAAGACATCATTTTAATTTAAGTAAAAACATATTAACCATAGTAAACCATATATCAAAATGAAAAAACATAATCTATAATGTTCAACAATGATTGAAAAATATAAAAATATAATGGGATTGCAATATGCTGTTAAAACAACTCTAAAACTCTAATGTATTGTATTTTTAAAAATGCTCACGAATTAAAAAATCTTTTATTTTGGAATAACATCAATTTCTCAAAGGGGTGAAATTAGTGACATTAGTCCCAAATGACGGTTTTAGATAAGTTCAAAATACGGCAGTTATACTATTGTTAATACATTCAAAAACATTTTTACTAAATAAAACAGTTTGATCAATTTGAATTAACTTATTCTAATATATTTACAGTTAATGAGAATACAAATGTTTGATAATAACGTTAAATTATAAAAAAACGAATGGAATTCAAATTTTTACCCCAGATCTTAAACGGAAATTTAATTTTAAAAACTATTAAAGTAACTGATGTTGTATATCTAGCTGATAACAAAACAGATTTTTTAATGTTTTNAAGCAAAAGTAACCTAACCAGCCGGTATCCAACATAGAACTAACGGACTTCTGAAATTACATATACCGTTGAACATTTAAAAATAACGCTGAAATTTAAACGAATCAGAATCACGATTGGGATTCAACATCGGCCAGCTTGGAGATCAACCGCTATCACAACTTGGTGAGAATCAAGGGGCACCCTCAAATATAGTCTACTCCTATTTTTTAAATGAAATAATTAAAATGAATGTGAATTCGCAAACTTTGTAATAATAAACAATCTAATAGTTTTCAAATGACAACTGTCAGCAATGAAAAATTGCATACTAAATTGAGCTAAAATTGCATACTAAATATAAATAATTATTAAAAGCGTGCAAGATGAATAAAATTTGCTTTTGCCTTGATTTTTATTAAACAGTTTTCACAATACTAAATCCGTGATACGACCAATAATTACGAAACTTATTCTCGTTGATTTTACGTGCTTGTGCTCACCTGAAATAAAGAACCGAATTATGATTAAATATTAAAGTACATGTAATTTATTTTTCTAAAAGAATAGAGCTATAAGATAGAAATATCACTGTTGTTATCTTCAAGATATTTGAAAACTGATTCGTGTACAGCAAAATTTAAAACAATGCTAACTTTTAACCAATCAGAAAATTCCATTTCGATTTTCGTTGATACCGCTGGAACGGTTTGTGGCAGAATGTTCTATTGTGAATCTAAACCATTCTCGAATCCTTCTGAAGGTACACAGAAAATTTCATTTAAATCAGTCCAGCCGTTTAGGAGGAGTTCAGTGACATACACACGAACAGACGAAATATGTATATAAAGATAATAACTTATGAATATTTGAAATTGCATGATATGTCTGTTCTACGGAATATTTAACTCAACTTTTAAATTTGATATCGAAAATTAGTAAAAAATGTACAATTACGTATAGTACAATGCATTTATAAAATATACACGATGCCTTTTGCAAAGTTTAGTGTTCTCCTAAGCTTGTAAAACAATTGTCAGCACCATTATACGAAAATTGCTGACATATTTTTTAATTTGAAATATAATTAATTTTTCATTTTTAATGCAAATAAGAGAACCAAAAACTAATGCTGATTTGATATCTAATAACTTTTTAAGAAATATTATAGTCAATAAACAGCACTTTTGACTCTTACTTATCATTCTAATCTGTATTTTCATGAAAAATCTTACACAATACAGCGAAAATAGAAGACCATTTAATATAAGGACAACGTAAGCGAACATTAATTAAACATATAGCTATTAGGGAGTAACAGTTTTGACGTTTTCGACAAATTTTCAAACTTGAGATGCTTCCCTCCTCAAAAGTATCTCTATTGATTCCTGAATAAGAAATAAAATATAATCTTTTATACATTAAATTTTTAACTATCCCAATCACGCTTTGAAATTTTTTTAAGCATGATTAGAAATTTTTTCAAGCGAAAATTCCCAATTTTCGGCATAAAAATTTTATATTAGTATAAGGTAGCATAAGGCATAAGGTAACATTAAGAATATTCCAAAGGTTTATATCAGATCACCATACTACACAAAAAAAATGGTAATTAGTAACGTGGCTTTACTTTAAACTCAAAACATTATGAGAAAGCAATATAGATTACAAAATAAAAAAGAAGAACATCTCATTATTAATGTCCTAGAGCTTCAAGGAACAATTGAGGAAATCAAAATGTGACAGATGGATATGCACGATGCACTGTAAGAAATTTCTCGGAAAAAATGGTTAAATAACAATTTATTTAAAAGTTATTTTACCATAATCAAACAAAACAGTCAAATAACCATAAACAAGATGATATTCAAACTGTTAACAGTGAGAAAAACAGTTTCTTGGTTTTTTTTCATTTAATACAGTTATATAACAAGAATTTTATCACACCTATTAAGCCCACCTAATAAAGCCACGAAGCCACTTAGCTCCGTGCGGATGGGTGCATATTATAGCCGAGAGGGCTAATCTGTTATTCTCATGACCAAAAGAACAAGGGATTCAAGGCACAGCGTTGACCACAATATTTTCTATGAAGAGTTTCTAGTGTCCTGCACTCCCTAATTTTGACCCTGGGATATTAGAATACGTTACTCTCATTCGCTCACAGATGGCAGCTCCATACAGCTGATAAACTATCTCAAATGTTTTGTTAAATATTTTTTTTACGGTTTTGAAACCAAACTAGTTGTAAATGGTTCAGAAACTGTATAGTTTTGTATTCATGGTTTTTTAACCATACTAGCTGTAAGTGGTTTCAAAACCGTACGGGTAAAACATGTTCTTTATTGTAAACTTTACAGTGAGTTGAATGGACGAACTGTTGCAAATAATTTTACCATAATTTTAAAATGAAAACTCAAACATTGTAAGAAACTATAAGTTCAAGGAAAAGTTACGAAAATGATATCATATTTCATATGCTAAAACAGCGAAACAAAAATTATTTAGCTCTCTAGTAGTATATTTCCTTCAAAAAATTTCTTTCAAAAGAACATTCAATCTACTGGTGATCTGCTGCTTTGATAGCAGCTGATGCTCTCATTCGCTGTGATATAAAATAGTAGACGATACAACAAAATTTATTGACCATTATAAAATCAATAGAGAAACTACATTGCTGTGTAAACTGTTTAAACAAACGCCAAAAACATAACTCATATAAAAGCCTTTTATCTTGGGGGCCGAGAAGATGCAAAACTAACGCTGGAGAAATGTGAGAAAAAGTGAAGTCGGAAAACTGTAATGAAACAACATTGGTCTAGTAATACCAGTCATTGTAAATATAGTTTCGATTGCATTCAGTGTTACTAATCGATTAACTAACAAAAAGAAGTTACGAAGAAGGATTTTATAGCAATTAGGTGCAATGAAACTACATATAGCACTGGATTTCACAGAGGCGTGGTTAGAAATCAAGAAGAATATGTCAATAATCTATTACACTAGTTCATATGTCAAAATCATTGAAGCAAACTGCTAATCAGTCCTACTTTTCGCCATCTGAATGGCACTATAAGAGATACTAAAGCCTTCCAATTACATATAGAAATTGATCGCGTTTGAAGATATGGAAGTTTTTAAATTTTGGAAAATACCACTATCAATCATTTTATTCATAACTGACAGAAAGCATTTGAGTACTGATCAAATGCAATTAAATATTTATCAAGCTGTAACCGAAGAACAGAGTTCATACCTTGTTTGGCTGTAAAATAAGTCCTTCTTGTTGGCTTATCACTACCAATTGCAAAGTATGATTAAACATTTAAACTACTCAAGATGACGAACTGTCTGGGAAACTAAAATCCTTCGTCAATAATGCAATAATGAGCTGACCAAGTTGTATACAAGAAGCTAATAATTTATGGCACTTAATAAGTTCATCGAGGTACTTATCTGAATATTTAAGATTTTTGATTCACTTGTTCATTCAGTGTAAAGCATAATTTTCCAGTACTGAAAACACGCTACTGTGTATGATAAATTCTGACCCCAAGCCTGCAGAACATTAGCCTTCAAGAAAGTCCAACGACCAGTAGCAGAAAATCAGCAGCGAAAAAAAACTAAATAACATGTGCACATTATTTATATTTGTCTTGAATTTTAAGGTTGGGGAATATATTAACATTGTAGACTGGACTAACTGTGGTAATATAATCATTAATTATTGCACTAATGCTCTCTGACATACCAAGAAAACGTACCAAAGATGAAGCATCTGATTGTTTTCAGTATAGCATACTTTTTTTTCCTTTTTACTTCAGAATGAGAATCTTAAAACGAAGCTATTAAGGTACCCGGAATTATAACATAACGTTCCGTAAAAATGTAAAATTTTATGTCGGAATTTGAAAAAGTTGAAATTTTAAGAAGAGTATGGTATATTTAAAAATTATTGAATGTGAACATGCCGCAGTATTAATCTCTTCCATAGTGAGAAATTGCAAGCCCTGATAGGTTTCTTTAATCAAAAAATAAATTTTATTCACACAATACAAGATTTCAAAATACTCACACACTTTGAATCAAACAATTTACAACATAGTTAATTCACAATTATTTTATTTATACGTCTTCCAAAACAATACCTGGTTCTTAGACATAGTTAATATTATTTTTTACATAGAGAGTTTAAAAATATTTAGAAATGTCTTATGTCACAGAATTTCGTTCCTGCGTTTGTCTTCTTTTGTTTAAAACACAGCAATTAGATAACAATATCATTCAAAAGAGACTATAGAATCATCATATCATCTGAAAAAAAATTAATCAAACATTGAAATTTGACCTAGAAACAATGTACAATTAATGATACTTCCATTGAAGGAAAGAAATGGAAAAGATATTTCATTTTATATTATTCAAAATCATACTAAAAAGTTAAAAATTATAATAATTTAAATTATAGTGAGTGCTTCGATTTTTATTCTAATGGAATACACATTAATAAGAACAGGTTGCTGTTATTGATCGGACAACTTGTTTATCCTACCTTCGTTATTTTGTAATTGTTGACTACTGACGCTATGTATTGACTGTTAAGTGCACTTAATGAAATTTGAAAATCGATATCTTTACGATGCAATAATTCATACTCAAATTAAGTTCCCCTATAAAAGAACAAGATTTTTCTTCTTTTTCTCTGTTTTTTCAGTGTGAAAATTCTTGTGACTTTGAAATTCTCTTTTCTTTCTATTGAACGGGAAAAGCTACACAAAATCGCCTCACTTGTTTCAGTAGCAAAGTCAAATGCTTAAATAGGTGTAATAAGACTAATTGTCTTTGCGAATAATAAATACTGAAATATTTTTTTCCAAACTCGTGTTGTAATTTTAATTTTCTTTGCTCTTAGAAACTATTTTTACTTTTAAAAGAACATTTTTCTTTTCCTAAAAACCAAAAATAGCTTACTAATACCTAATGTCAATAAATATTTAAAAAAAAACGATTTGTGAAAAAATCAATTAAAGCATCTGAATAGTTCTTTCAAATATTAAAAACAAAACTAAATGCTCTAAATTTTAGCGATAGTGTAGTGCAATTTAGTTGTGAATTTAAAACTCATATGTAATTGTTAGTCAATTCAAAACTCGAGCAGCAAAATGAATTTCGTGGTATTTTTTATACGTTAAGCAGTTTACTTTCTGAAAAATATCTCTGAAATCATAAAATAGACACGATTTAATTGCATGAAGATCTGAACAAAAAAGAATCTCCTTGAACATTCGATTTTAACTTAGATCTACTTTTGTCCACTCAATGCGTAGCACACATCTCGAATTCTCAAAAATGCTTCATACAAAAAATCCATTTTTTTACTCGACTGTAAGAAAACTGTGCTAATATCTGAATCATGCAAAATTCCAATTACCTTTATCATATTGACTTTAAATTTACGAAATGTTTTGATTGTAAATGCAACTCTAAGTCTATTAATTTGTAAATGAAGTATGGAGAAAAATGAAGTAAGAAAAAAAACGGGGTAATAAGTATGTAAGCCACTCGTGGTGTAAGTAGCAGAGAATTTTACTTCAACTATTTTGAAATGAGGGATTTAAAATCAACTGGAAGTTTAAAAAAATATTTAAAGGCTTACATACTACTAAATAGTTTCACTTATTTTTTCTATTTTTTACCAACAAAATAGGTAAATATTTATGTAATTTTGAATCAAAAATTAGAAAAAAAATTTCTGTTGATTAATTTTCAAAAGAATATAAAATTCTTTGAATTAATTATAAAACATTACAGAGATAGTAAATCTGAAACTCTAGCGAATGAGATGCGAATCTTAACAAAACCCACCTCCACGTGGGCAAAAACGTCTTGTAAGTCCATGGGAGCCATGGTTAGTACAAATTGCTTAAATTTCTAAATAACCATATTTAATTAAAGGGAATCAATCGTATTCAAAAAATATTTTAAGGGCAAAATAGAAAAAGTTTTATGAATCATATATAAGGACTGTGTGAGAATGTAACGAATTATGTGAGATTAACTCCAAGTAATTAAGTAGAAATGAGAGTTAAAAAAGTGTATATTTTACCTGAATGGAAAAATGGACCTGTGATATAAACAGAGATAACATCAATTATGTTATATTACCAAAATTATGAAAAAGTTTGGAGCAAAATGGCATTCAAACATCTCTTCACGAACTCTGTACATGTAATGTTGCTGTTTAAGTCCCAAAATTGTTCTCCTTGAAGATATTTTGCTACTTTTCACAAATTTATTTTGATAATTAATTGTCGAAATAATTTTGCAAATTTATTGACTAATAAATTTTGCTAATTGACTAATTTGTGTACCTTTTATTATTTATAAATGAAAAAAATATAGCGACTCCAAATTTTATTTATTTCTCCACCAATTTTTTTCTACAGAATAACAGAATGATAAAAAAAAAAATTTTCATTATTCAATTTTTTTTTAGTTTTGCGATAACCAAAACCAAAAGTTTGATATCATTAAGGGGAGTTAGTAGGGCATATATCATACAATTCCCTACTAACTCCCCTTAATGATACGAATATATGTATGTAGATATAGATGTACATAAAGCTATACATAAAGCTAAAGTCCTTTTTAGTGAACTTTTTCCGAGAAACTACTTATGATATCGCTGTGAAATTTTTAGGGGACATATGAGATAAAATCAGTTGTATGCGGTGATAATTTTTTAGCGTTAACAGGAATACTTTTTGAGTTATTAGATATTTTTGCTTAAAAATGATACAACTTGTTAAAAAATTTAAAGTTCTAAATTAATAATTTTTTAAAACAATTTCTGCCAAAGATATTTATTAATAGTTATCTCAGTGTGAACATGCATAGGTAAATATTCCGCGAAAACAAAACTGAAGAACTATCTTCTTTAGATGCTGAAATAAATTACACCGAAAAAAAGTCAATTTTGGCATTTTGGTATATGCCCTGCCTACTTTCCTTAAAACCTAAAAGCAATTTTTTTTCTTTCTGACCACTCTAAAGAAGCTATCTTTCTTACTTAACGATTCAAAATGTTCAAAAACTTGATTTAAAATATCCATGTTAGCAATTTTTTGGCATTTGAGTAAAAGCATAATGGTTTAAAAATTACATTGAGATATTTAAAAACTTTCTCTCATTTCTTATAAAATGATAGCACATTTTAGGTGCAACTCATACTTTTCTTATATTCTCGTCCTATCAGTTACTAAATAAGAGCTACAAAAGCGCTACAAAAAGCAAAAGCCTGCAACAGTTCGTTGTGAGCTAGGGGAATCATGAAGGTTAAGGCTCCAGATTTACGTATATGGTTGTGGTAATGAGATCTCAATGGCGCCATTCTTTCACAAACAAGTTGATACTTATCGGTCTCGAGCTATGTGGGCTTCATATAGCCATTAGAGGCTGAACCCTACTTTCTGACAATGATAAGCTCAATGGGAAGACTAAAAAGCTGACTGCTTTCTCTGAAGCTCTTTGGTAACGATTTTAGTAAAATTAAGAATAAACTATGTTTTTTAAGTGCCTATGATTTCTGAGCCATGGTGGATCAAGTAAACATTAAAAATTTTCTAAATAAATCGATAACACTATATTTAAATTATTTAAAAAAGTTACAATTAAATTACAAAAGTTACAAGTACACGTTCTCTCACATTGTAGCCAAAATCGAAAACATCAGAACTGCAAAATATGTTACTTACCATCATATATTTGAGAAAAGAATGATACTAAAAAAATATTATATTTGAATTATCATTTGTGATATAATTGGAAAAAAAGAACAATTATAATATTCGTACTTAAATTCTTTATTGAAGAGTTATTATTTAATTGCTTAAATTAAATTTAATCAATTGCAATGTGTTTTAATGTATACATTTTGTGTTAGTTGTAAATATTTAAGGAGGGCATATATATCGTTAATAAACTCATTCAAATTATCTATAAAATGACTATTCTGTTTTATAGAATCTTTTGTACCAAATTAGTAAAACTGTTTGAAAAAATTACTATATGATAATCAATTTGAAACAAAATTAAAAAAAAGTGTTAGATAAAAACAAAAATGCATGAAGACTTAAAAGATCATTTTTAAAATAATTGACAGCAGAAAGTGATGGCAAGTCATAATGCAATTTGAATTTGAATTTTTAAGAAAGAAAATTAAATAATTTTGAACTGTAAAAACTATAAAAAATAATAATTAACATACATAAATACATTTCTCATTGTCAAAATTATCAAAATTATTTTCTTTATTTTCATGTGGTTTTGCTGCTTTAAATATATAAAATAGATAGATTCCGTGACCTTAAGGTTATTTTATAATTTCTTTTAAGTTCCACTTGTATGTTTGCATCAGAGTATTTGATCAAGAAAGTTGATTTGGGGATACATTGTCATATAATACTGTTATGTATACAAAGCTATAAACTTTATCTCAATCTGAATTCTGTATTTGACCAAAAATAATAATTAAATGATTTCGACTGAATTCTTAATCAAAACACTAAGCGATGCACTAGAAATATGTTATATTTCACAATGGAAAATTAAAATAAGTGCAAATTGCTGATATTTATGAAATTCATTAGTCACATGCTGTTATTCCTTTATATGGGTATAGATCTAAGACTTAGCTTAAAATATTTTAAAAAGATACTGTGGTAGTGTTCAATATATGGTATGTATTCAAGATATTTAAATAAATATAAAATTGTTTTTAATGGTGTTATTTTAATTTTCCTTTTATATCAATTTTTGTAATAATTTTGTAAAGGGATATTCAAAACATTAAAATATACACTGAGAAAAAATTACTGTCAAAAGTACAAAAATATTGTAAAATTTACCATACTGCTGACTCAATGAGAGGATTAAAAGACTGAGTACTTTTTCTGAAGCACTTTGGTAAGGATTTTAGTAAATTTAACAATAATTTTTTTTTAAATCTGTGATAAAATGTAGTAATTTTAACAGAAACTCTTCGAGCATGGCATACAACTATGTATTTTCATTTATATTAACTTCTCAGTTTTGAATTTTTTTATTAAATGTATGTTAATAAGAGCCATGCTTTTGAAAATCAGAATTTCTGTAAACTCTTCGACAAGGAACAGAAAAATTACCAAATAAATATTTTAAATACCGTATATTTCAGTTTTAACTCAAGAATTATAGTTTTTTGTACCAGAAAAGTTATTACCATACGGATTGGTAAATTTACCATTTTTATTTCTCGTGTAGAAATGAATAAATCGATCAATTTATTTAGTCTTAGAAGTTCCTGTAATTTATAAGTATAAATATGTACTCACGTAAATTTCCATTCCCTAATAAAAAATACATTCATTCAATGAAAAACTAGATTGAGTAATATATAATTATGGAAATTCCAAACAGTATAGTATATGTTTTACGTTAACTAACTCATTCATTTAGGAAACAAATATAAAAATTAGTGAAAACCACATTTAACTTACCAAATTGGCCTGCATCTAAAACCAATAAGTAACATATTATGACATAGGTTTTGGGGAAATCAATATAAGTTATAAAGAAAAATTTGTTCCTTCGTTTTTATAATGTATTACAATTTTAGTACTTTAATCAAATAATTATTTTACTGTAACTTTTATTTTTAATAGTATTAAGAATAATTAGTTGTGAAAGTATTATGGACTAAAATTTTAGTTGAACAATCAAACTAGTTTAATAGAAAGAGTGATGCTTACCCCCTCCTTTGTCAAAATTACCACCTACAATAATAAATACTTATATAAACAATTCAGTAAAAATAGTGTATCTACTATTTTTCAGAGGTTTTGTTTTGTAAGATACAATTTTTCAAAAGAACTATTACAGAAGCAGAACTGGGAAGCTTGCATTAGAAAACAATTATCATAAAAAGTGAAAAAATATTAACTTAAAGTAAAAGAACTGAAGACTAAATATAACTTATTATTACAGTTAAGGAAATTAACTGTTAAAAAAATGTTTTATAAATCATGAATACTATATTGCTAAAAAGATTTTTTTTTCATTACTGCGTTTTATTATAATAAATTATAATTTTTAAAGTGAAATGAGAATTAAACAAATAGGATATTGATTAAAGTGTTAAAAAAGAAAGAAAAAGAAGGTTTTTCTTACCAAAATAATCAACTAACAACAAGTAAAGGAAAATCATATAATGCAATGTTAATATTAATAATACTCATATAAATATTTTTTTAAATCTCGTAGTTAATGGAAATTTTAAAAAAGTCTCTCCACACTTACACAAGTCTCTAGATTCTAAAAGGTAAATTAAGAAAAACTCATTTAATAACATTAACTTTAATAACATTAACTTTTATAATCCTTAATAATTATGCATAAAAGTTTGTTGAAATTTGTAGTAAAAATCCCTTTTTTAAAATAATCTAGAGCAAATAATGCTAATATTTCTGTGTTTTGATGTATGTGATTTCTTAAAAAAAATTTCAGTTTTCTAGAATAATTACATAGTTATGTTATTTTTCTAATAAAACTCTGCATACGTAAGTTTCTTTTATGAACATTGTGGTAATTTATAAATTACTTTACAATGTAAAAAAAAAAAACAAATCAATTGTCTTTATCAGTATTATTTATAAAATTGTTTAATGTAATGAAAATAAACATGATAAATAAACATATAGAGTAATATAATTTCATAAGAAATATTTAAAGCGATCCATCATTTACACTATTGCTTTTGTTTCATTATCATTAGGAGTCAAAATTAGTCAAACGTAATGGTAGGTATGATTTTATAAAACCTAATCTTATTCCTCATTAGACAACATGAATTCAAAAATTATAAGTTTTAAAAACTATGAATTACTCCAATTAAATTATTATTTTTGATAATAATTTTTAAATAGCATGAATGAAATTTTTTAATGCTATATTGTTAAATAAATGAGATAAAGTAATTTAAAAAATAAAGTTATACTACTAGATGAGTATAACTTGTATAATAAGCGTTTTTGAAGACAATGGTCATAATGCGAAATTGATTTGCCAAAATAATTTTAAAAATTTTAATAGAATATTTTTCTTGCATTTTTTATACGAAACTTTAAGCGCTGTTACTTACCATCTCCGAAATAGGAATCTGAAGAAAGAGAAATTATTTATAAAAACGAGAAAACTTTGTAAGAAATTTCTAGTAAGTTAAAAAAAATATAAAGAGTAATAAGATCCTCCCTTACTTGGGTTGGCAATTGCTTTGAGCAATTTTTTTACCAGATTAATGATATACAAGACTAAATTATTTAATGAAATTACGACAAAAATAATGCTGAAGGTATAATTGATATTTATATTTTTTCTGAAATTATTTAAAACCGCAATCGAGTTTTATTACTTGTAAGATTTATTTTTCTAATACAAATTTTTTTCTGAAAAATAACTCCAAATCTTCTCTTTTTTTATTAGGGTTGAACTTTTCAATGAAGTAAGCAAATAATTTAAATCTAACTTTCTTTGTTTCAAATAATACAGGAAACTCTAAATTAAAATATCTAGTAAATAATATTTATTTCATATTTAACCTATTTTTTGTAAACCTATTATGTGCAGGAAATAACGAAAATTTTGGCTGAAGTTAAAAATGTTATTAATTTAGCATTTTAGCATTTACATTACGTTTAACATTTACTATTCTGATCAATTAAAACTTAATACTTTTAATTTTTATGTACATTCTAGTTTAAGAAAATGAAAAAGACGTTTTTACACATTGTTTAATAACTTCGATTTCATTTATGTATGCATAAAATATTTAACCGGCATTTCATATTCACCAGCATTTTCAAATGATAGACCTATGTAAAAAATTACTAATTACCAATATCTTCAAGACCTATTAGGAATAAATAAGCGTTTATTACTTACAAAATAGTAATTTAAAAGATTTTTGCAAATCACGCATAAACGACCCATCCAAAAATAAAATAGTAATGTGAAAGCTAAATTTATAGGTAAAAACATTTACAACTAAAATAAAGGTACAAATGGTTAAAAAAATATTATTTACTCTTTTAAAATGAAGGGAAAAAAATTATTTTGAGTATTGACCAGCAAACTATAAATGACATTCCCTAGAAAATAAAACTTTAGGCACTACATTACATTGTATTACATGCATAAACTATAATATGCTATAAGGATAGTGCTATATTATCATGTTGAATACATGAAGAAACATAAATTCCATAGAACATTTTAAATCTTTAGTCTCAAATTTTGGAAAATAACAAGGAATAAAGATTAAATATTCAGCAATAAGAGCAAATGGAATCCTTTTTTTTGATAGATACTAATTTTAAAATGTGCACTTTATTCCAAAAACTTATCATTACCTTACCTTTTTTACTTTATGAAGTGGTCGTGTGATTACAAAACTTTCAGTCAATCCTGTTTGTCACAGCTAATACAAATTGTAAAGTAAACTTGAAATTTACTTAACAATTTTTCTTTAACAATTAAATTTTTAAGATATTTAAGTTTTAATCGCTAAAAAAACTATCTCTTTTCAAATGTTTTTTATGTATTAGACATCAATATAAAAACTTGTAGTTTGCATGTAAATATGCAATTCTAATGTTTTTATATATAAATTTCATCTGCTTGCTATTTTAAAGAATAAGTACTACGTTTAGGAGGTTAATAATTAACCAAAATTATTAATTAAAAAAACAAATTAAGTAAAAAAAACAATAATTTATTTTAGAATAAAAGTATTGTGGAAGCTAGAAATTTGTTCATTCATTTAAAGAAAAGGCTTCTTTTTGGAACATTTATTTTTAGTGAGATAATATATAAATTTACTTGCAATGCCTTCTTTTTTAAATTTTAAAGCTTTTCATAGCATATAACTTAAAAAAACTTACTTTCAGCAAAATTCACAACTGAAAGAGGAAAAAATAAAAACTTATAACTCTTTTTATTCTTCACAAACATTGGCGAAACTTAAATTAAAATATTTTGAAATAAAATGCAATGTAATCAAAAGAGCCTTAGAATAAAAATACTTTTTGAAAATATAATCATAATATTTGAGTTAATGGAATTCCTTTGAGTTGAATCATATTTTTTATATCATCACTACTACTTTTATAAGTAAGCTATTTAAAATTTATCATTTAAAACAGAATTAGGAAGCAGTTTTTCAGCAAAAAATAATGTGCATTTTCCAATTAAATTGAATTTTTATCCCCATTCAAAATAAATTATAATTATAGAAATTTTGTTTTTTTCTATTTCAAATAGAGTTAAATGAAAAAAAGCAACTATTCCTGATAATGTATTCAATTTATGTCTTCTCGAAAAAATATTCAATTTATGTTTCGTTATTTCTTGAATTGCATATTTTACCATAATCTCATTCAAAAGAATTTTTTTACAAACAAAATGAAGACATTTTAAATAAAAATGTTGAAAATTATTTTTGTTTTTGCTTTTTTAAGCTCTATATTAGTTTGTATACTAATCTTTCACATCTGTAAAATGTAAACCTAAATGCCTAAATGCTAAACCTAAATTTCTATGTTTTCCAAAATAACTGTTTTAAACATTTTTCTATCTGCTTCAAACCCATATGTCAGAATTTAATAATGATTGTGAATCATATTTTCCTTATCCACGAGCAAAAAACTTTAACTATTATTAAATAATTTTACATTAATAACTAAATATGAATAAAAACACAATTAATATAGAGAGGATTTTATAATTCCTAATTTATTGAAACTTACACCGAAGAGTCAATACATTATGACCACCCTGCTAATAACATGTAGGACCATCTTTAGCCCTCAAAACTGCTAGCACCCGCCGTGACATTGATTCCACAAGGTGCTGATAGGTAGTCTGAGGTATCTGGAACCAAACGCTCACCAACTGGTCCTGCAATTCCCTCACATTGCGAGGGGGTAGCGTGGCAGCACGAATTTGGTTTTCCAAGTAGGACCACAAATGCTCTATTGGATTAAGGTCAGGTGAATTTGGGGGCCAAGACATCACTTGAAAGTCTCTGGAATGTTCCTCGACGATTTGACCCTTATGACATGGTGCATTATCCTCTTGGTAAACGCCATCTCCCGCGGGAAAAACTGCTGCTATGAATGGGTGAACCTGGTCTGCAACTATGTTCAAGTAGCTTACAGACGTCAGGGATTATTCTATGAGGATTATGGGTCCTTGTGCGCCCCATGAAAACATTGTTTCTGGGTGGTGAGAAACCATGACAACTTTGGCGAGCCCATTGTTATAGATGGAGGGTGGTCATAATGTAATGGCTCTTCGGTGTGCATAATTAATTGTATTAGAGTCAATGTGTAGAGTATCTATTTCAACTTATTTTTTCTGTTTCCGTTTTATCATTAATCAACATACGTTAGATCTTAGGGGTTGTTTAAAAATTTCTTAAATCACAAGTCCACTTTGGTTTTGGGTGTTTTTAAATGTCCTGCAAGACACTAAGGGTTATTAAAAATTGTAATTAGAGTTTAGTGAAAATATTACAATTTCCAGCATGACTGTCTTTCATTCATTGCCATATTTTAACTAAACATAAATTAAATTAAATTCCGTTACCAAAGTGAACTCTGTAATTTTGTATCCTGTCAAAAAAGGTTGTTTATCAAACTAATTTGTTTCATATTATTTATAAATGTTTATATTAGTTCAATAATTTTTATGATTCAACCCACTGTGAATGTTTACGAAGCAAAGTTTTAAATGTAAGCAGTTGAAAATAATAAATCAATGAAATAAGAGCAGTTACTAGATAAAATCAGATATAAATAAAGTCGAAATAAAGTAAATGAACTACTCTTGGATCACACGAGATCCATTTATAGGGAGCATAAAATTTAAAGATAAATGTTTAAAGTAATGGAACTATCATTTCAGTATATATCAAAAATACATACTAACTAGTACAATAAATAATCTTAATTTTTAATTACCAGGATGAAGCAATTCAAAACTCTCATCTGAAAAAAGGGAATTCTTTTTATGTGTTCTAACCAATACTTTCATTAAAATTAGTTTAAATCTTCATTTTTGAAAAAAATGAATATTTACCTAAAAATATTTTTAAATTTTATAATAACACAGAATGGAGCTAATACAATAATATTTATAAAGAATAAAGAAATTTTAGACCCTATGAAGTATAAGCAAATGAGAATAAATGCCTTATTTAAAAACAGCTTTCTTCTCGAATCAGCTTTAAATCTCGATTCAGCTTTCCTTCTCGGATGCCATTGGTTGGTTGATTTATTTTGCATTTTTAAACAATTCTTAATTCCAAATACTCGAGTTCGAAACACATTAATAAATTCACATTGATAATAATATTCGAAATTCATTGATACAGTGATGCAATATAATGATGGAATTCAGAAATCAACCTATAAAATTTAGGATTGAAACATAAACTGATTAGGTTGATTCAAATGCAATTTTTAATTGAGAATAATTTTCTTTCCAATTCAAAAACAATTGTATTTTTAATTTAAATAGAAAAATAGAAATAATACAAAAACAGACACTCTTCAATTTTAAGAATAGTAGAATAGATATTATTACATGCTTAATAGTTGTAGATCATTTAAGCGAGAAATCACTAAAAGGATATTTTTTAGATACAATTGAATTTCAATCTAATTGTAATACAATAAAAATATAATGGCATTTCAAATCTGAAATATATGTAATGTGTAAAATATCATTAAATTACTGATAATAAAATTATCAATTCTAGAATGTGTCTATCCACATTAAAAATCAGTCTAAAAACTAATGAAATTTCTGAATTGTAGATATAAATTTCTTATATTTCACACACGTTGTTCGCAAGCTAAAATAAACCATCATATTGTAATTAAATTGCAAATTGAAACTGTTTTCATGTAACAAGTACTATTAGTAATATATCTTAATATAAGTATTCGACAACAAATTAAGAGTAAATGGTGAATTACTCTCAAAAGTATTGGATAAAATTACGTGTTCATGAAGGATATCGTATTGAAGATTTTTAATCAAAAATTTGGTTTAGAAAATGCATTAAATTTTATAAATAAATAATTGGATCTACAAATTTCATCAAAGAAATTAGATTAACTTAAAACATAATTTTGAAGTATGTTATTCCATTCCAATTAAAAGAAGCTTCATTATTCTAATTTGAATTGAACTGAAGGTGTGTTTCTTTATCTTATTTTGCTTTTATTTGATTATTTCTTATAATGAAGGGAAGGTATTTCATATCTTTTACTTCAAACCGCTTTATTAAAAACAAAGTTTCATGCCAAATCCTTCGAAATTTAAGAATGATAAGTACTCTATTTTTATTATGGATTCAAATTTCGTCTTTAATTTTTTATTAAACTCTCCTGATATAATTCGCAAGAGTTTATTTTCAACCCTGAATTTTATTTGTATGTATTATAAAATGAACAGCATGCGTAGTACCAATATAATTTATCTGTGTCAGTTTCATCTAATTTCATATTAGCAGTATATAATTAGGGTAATCAAGTTATTTTTAACAAATGTAAATTCCTTAAAAAATGCAATATTTTTTTACGTTTAAAATAAAATAATTAGCTTTGAGATGATATGCAGCAAAATAAATTCCATAATGCTTTACCTGCAGCAAAGGGAAACACTGTGAACGAAAATTAAATATTTTTATCATGAACTAATCTTACAAAAAAAATATACGTATGAAAACATCGCTGAATAAAAAAATTAGTAACCCCTATAAGTTACATAAAAAGGGAAATTTAATTCCACGCAAATGCGTTTCAAAGCTCGAAAATTTTGCTGGTCTGGATTCGTTAAAAAGGTTATCCTAAGTTTCGCAGGTAGGTCGCATCCAATGTAATTCCTTCTCTGTGGATTTAATCATGCAAATCTACTAAATTGCGAGAAAGCTGATTTCAGCGTTTAACAGCTGTTTAAATATGCCCCACAGATTATCAGTAGGGCTCAAGGTAGGTAATTTAAATACGAACTTATGAGAGTTCTTAACCGGTCTGATATTCTATCAGTTCAATACATGTTGCTATTTTTATCTGGAAAATTGAAGTATCCGTAGTTAACTCCTTTTGATGACGTAAAGTAAATGGCAATGCGTCATCATTTAGAATGTAAAAATAAACATAGTTTTTTTAGTGTTCTTTTTCTAATCCATTTTTCTAATTCATTACTTGACATATTGACTTGAATTTCACAGATCTCTCTAAGGGCGATTAATTTTTTATTCTGAGAGTTAATTTTGCAAAACTTACTTGGACCAAATGGGTTTCTTCTACCTATAAAATATAAATTATTCAGGGAATTAACTTAAAAAGTAACGTTTTATCAAAAGAGGTTAGTAGGTTTAAATTTTTTAAAGTGTTGGATTGTTTAAATGTATACCTGGCTTAAAGTTAACGCACTTATTTAAAAAAATTACAATAAATGTTCCAGCGTTTAAGAGCTGTTTCGATGAAGAAAATAATAATAGGAATTTAAATCACGATTGAAGAAAAGATATCAAATGAGATTTTAAAGAGAATTTTTAATTTTTTCATAAATTATCAAAAATTTAAAGAATTTAGGTAAATTTTTAACTGAAATGCATTCAGTTACGTATTATAATGATAAAACTTTGTGGAATATAACAACTGAAAACCTAAACTTGATGTAGGTGAGATAATATAAAAACAATTTTACCTTAATTATATTCTACAACCCAGTTGATGTTAAACAAAATCTGCTTCCTTCTAAGTCATCGTAAGTTTAGTCTGCTTTGAGTTATGTTTCCCGTCATTAACTTTTTAAGAAGAATTTCATATTATTTTTGGAAATAAGAATACTTGGTAAGGAAATTTTTCATTTGTTTCACTCTTAGTGATTGTTATAGTTTATTTATTGTACTTATACTTTTATTTTGTTTATGAAGCATAATTTTGATTTTATTATTTTCCATTATTAATTAAAATTTTTAACTATGGTAAGAACAAGAATTTTAAATGTAAGTACGTATCTCAATCTACGTAATTTTAGTGTAAATGTTTAACAATGAGAATTCGCAAATACTTATATTTTTATTTATATTAGTTTTATCAAATGTTTTATCAAATGTTATTTATATTAATTTTATCGATGTTTTTTAGTTCTTATTTTTCACCTTATATTAGTTCTTATTTTTCACCTTATTTTTCACCATTCTTATATTTCTTTATTCATAGCAAAGCTATATAACGTAGTTTATTACTACGTTGCATAGGTTTAATTCATGGAGTGCATTTTAAAATATTACAATTTTATTGTAATAAAAAATGCTTAAATTTAAAATGTATGCATATTTGCAAAATTACGTTTTAAAGCGTATAAAAGAGGTTATATAACATTCAACTAAATAGTATTAAAGCCATTTGTTCAAAATCAATGTAATCGTTCTACGTAAATACCATGTGACGTTATCAATACTTACCTCGAAAGAATGGGGCTAAAATACAAGCGTTTCAAATTTAAAAATAAAAATATTCATGCTAAACACATATGTATCAATTTATTTTTTCTGAAAAAAGAGAAGTCCTTTTTCTTAAATTTAATAAAAGTATCATACCATTGTAGATAAAATCTGTAACATAGAAACAAGAATTTAGTTTGAAACTTTAGCAAAAACAAAATGAGAGAGAGTATTGAGTAGATAGCTAAAATATCTTCTAAACAACGGACTGGTGCAGAAACGTTTATTTTTCAATTATTTATATTGAAAGCTTAGAAATCCTTGTGCACTTTATAAAATAGTTAAAAACGCAGATTTCCACAAACAGAAACATAGCTTTGGGTTACTTTTGTGAAACTGGGGTGACTTAAACCATGCTGATCATGAAATTTCAGACTCTGATATTAGTAATTCTACCTTTAATTGCTAATATTCAGGCTAGAATTCTTCTATAAACATTGAATTTTTCAACTTGAAAACCAAAATTTGTATTAATGTTTTGCGTCTAAAAATTCAAAATTTGACTCATTTCGAAAGATCTAAAATGTTTCCATTTTACAAAAAAAATATTAAATAACAGGTTTTAATAACAAATTTTTTCATCATTATCAAATTTTTATCGGTAATCTTATTGATAGCTTTTTTTTCGTGATACACCTAAATTATTTAGCGCTTCGAAAGTGACGCTTTCATCTTATAATGAAAATTGTTCAAAAGGACTCTGCTACTGAACAGCATATAAGAAGGTTCAAACTTTTGTGACATTCCTAACATTGCAATTAATAAAAAAAGGCATGAAAAAAAAACTTAGTGCTTGGTCATGATAAGGCTTCGTTTTGGATTACAAGGACCTCATGTCTGATAAAAAATTAAACATAGAACCATAGTTTAATTCCAAATTTTTTTAAGTTTCCTAGTCTGTCTAAATATTTGACTAGGCAGCCTGGTCTCTTGGGTTAGACAAATAAATAATTAAAATAATTTTAAAAAAAAGAATTTATTTCAGAAGTACTACTTTCAGTGCTTTAAACAACAAGGAAATAATAGTGTCAGAGACAGAATTAATCCAGAAGAACTCAAATTATATCATTAACAAAATGAATAATAAAATATTTTATTCAATAATTTTATTTACTTTGCATTATTATAACTATTTGTCAATATTAAAATATACAGATAATAATTATCTATAAATTTTCACAGTATCTATGCATATTTTTATTAAGTAATAACGAAAACAATTCGATAATATTAATTATTTTTTTATTGTGAACTAATTGGGAATTAACAGTGGATTAATTTTATGTAAATTCAACAATAAACTGAGAGGAACATAAAATAATGATTTCTTACCTGGTCCGTAGACTAAATCTGTTTTAGAGAGAATGAAATTTCAACAAATTATTTTTACAGTTAAAAAACCATTTATTCAGTTTTGCATTTAGGGCAAAAAAATAAATAAAAGAGTTAAATTAAATCCAATCTCATAACTGTATTCTTAAAAGAAAAATTTAAATTTTAGATACGTAGCTATACAGAAGCTATATAGCGTAGAAGCGTATATAGCGTATCAATATGACGTAGAAAATATCAGTTCAGTAATATTTTGTACTTTCATTCACTATCCAGAATATCTCTGATCTTGCAATATTCTTCATACCCTCTCAAAACAAATTGTATGTAGTAACCATGAAGTAAAAGACATTCTATTATTCGGAAAAATGTGGAAAATGTATTCTGTTGACTGATTTAAAAAATATACTATGAATATTAAAATGCATTTTCTATAAATAAATATGATACATTATATTAAAGCGAGTAAAGAACATTAATTAAATGAATGCACGAAATATTCAAAAATAACGAAAAAGTACGAATATAGAAATTCTCAGTAAAGTATAGAAATCACAATGACTCCGTAAACTTTATTTTGACTAACCATTTTCTTGCAAATACAATTTTAAAAAATTTTAATATGTGTGCACACTTACCATTATAAATATCTATACGGGAATATGTAAATATTTTGTTATTAATCTTCTAAAATAATTCAAACATTTTAACTAAAAATATAAATGAGATAAGTTGATTTTAACAATTTTTTTTTTAATTTTAGATTGTAGAGTAGCTACCACTACAATTTTTCAATTCCAATTCACTAGTATATAAGATATGTTAACTCGATTCTATGTTGAGGTGCATCTTGATAGATGACGGTTGAAATGTCGGTAGCCTAGCCCTACATTGGTGACCCGAACAGGATCTAAACAAGCCAACCTCAACAGAAACGCCCACTTCGATATGAACATGCCGACTTTGATGGATGGGACACAGTGACCAATTTACTTGTTAGTTGTGACTGCGACATTGTTCTTCTTATGGCATTGCCACTCAGTCTTGATCACACACAACAGGGCCCGTACACACTGGACTGTTAATTGCAATGCAGGAGAGACCACGTACATAACCATTATTTAAATACAGCTCTCAGGACCAGAGCTCCAAGTTCGGGGATCTTAATACAGCTCTCACGGCCTCTCACTAGACAACATCCATCGAAATTTATCAACGATTCGGGATTAATGTATCATAGCTACCTCTGAAACTATCAGAATCCAAGTACAATTATTTCTCATAGAAAAATCCACATATTTATTATTAGCTTGTCACATTATTTATAAGTTATAGTTTCAAATATAACACTCAAATATCATTTGACACTCAATATAACACTCAAATATCATCAAATATCATGAACACTCAAGTCAACATTTACTATTGTTCTCTGAAGATAATGAGAAGGTATAATAAGCTTTTTTTTTTAAATTTTTTTTCTCTGATTTCATCCTAAAATAATTTTTTTCTTTTTTAAGCACGAAACTGAGTTTTTTTTATATGGATTAGATGACTGAAAGAAGAAGCCTGTTCTTTAAGATAATATATTTTACTAAATGTGTCATTTTAATTAAAAGAAAATTTCCTTTTTTTTTTTTTTGATTTACACAAAACTTAATCGAAACAATATAAAATTACAAGAAAAAAGTTGATTATGAAGCAAATAAAAAACGTTGTAATATTACTAACCAAAAGAAGAACCTATAATTAAAAAAAGGAAATCAAAATCATGTGTTTTAACTCTTTTCTTGTACAGTGCATAGTTTTAGTTAATAAAATGTCGTTCAAAGTTACTAAAGCTTAAGCTATAAAACAGTAAAAAAAAGTGTGATTTATTCCATTTTAATCTTTAAGAAAACTTTTCCATTCCTTGATGCAGCATTCATTTTCAAGTAAGGTGCAATTCAAACAAAATTAATGAGATATATTTTTTTTTCTTAAAATACTGAATATATCTAGTAAATATTCTAATAGAATATACTTATCATGCGAATCTAACGATCCTTGAAAGAAATCTTTCAAAAATTTAATACCTAAATTGCTTTTAAAATAATTGTGATATAAATAATGTATATTGGTCTGATGGGCATGATTATGAACTATTTTTTCATTATTTAAAAAAAATTCACCCATATTAAAGAATGCTCCCGAATGCTTCCAAAAATCAAATACCCAACTTTTGTTTAGTATTTTCTCTGGAATTATCTAATTTAGTAAGAGGTGAACTTATTAATACATTAATGACCATATTTTTAATGGTAATTTTTTAATTTTCATTAGATTTTTTTAATGTATTTAACACTATTTTTAATTAGAAAATAAGCGTACAAATCCGTTACACTAAACCTTTATCAAGCAAAGAAGAAAACATAATAGTTTTGAATTTCTCACAGCTTACTACTATAAATCTGCTGCATTTTTTGATTTACTTTAACATATTCTCGCATACTAATTTCAAAAATGTATTACCCAGGTTAAAAATTTATTACACAGATTTAATTACCTAACTTTACCGTACTAAAATTTAGTAAGGTGATTTAGAATTTAGAAATTTAGAAAGTAAAGAAAATGAGTACAAAAATGAATAAAATAGTATGAAAAAAATTTGAATGTTTATTCTTGCTATAATATCCATAATTAATGTTAATTATATTTTTCATTAAAATTTTTATTAGGCTTTAATTGAAAATAATACCTCTAACAAAACCAAAAAAGTTATTTTGCACTATAAGTCCTTAAGCGATAGATGTAACTGTGCTCATTGATAAAATTAATTGATATTAATAACCCCTACGATTAAATGGTATTAATGTAAAGTTTTTAATGCATCTGCATGAAATTACAACTTACACTATCTCTCCTACCTTTACCTTTCTTCATTTAAATTTATTTGTGATATTAGCTTTTATTCTGCATTCTTGAATTATAAGCATCAAGACAGTGTGTGTGTTTTTACGGTATTCTTTTTAAAATAATACACAATTTTTTTTTACTTATAATCAAATTTCAGCTTACTCACACATTACTTTATAATTAAGAATGATATCTTACTTGAATCAAAGTACTCTAAAATTTAAAAAAAATTCAAAGAATGAGAACACATAATGAATTAAACAAATTCTTGATTTACTTACAATTATTTTCTTGTAAATATGCGTGTCAAGTTAATTAATTTCAAACTTATAGTACAGTACTCATACATTCGGTTTTCAATTTTCATTATCAATAAGATTCCTAATAATAATACTTTAATAATATCAATAATATTCTTCCTTTGGATGAAGCTATCGAAATCATAAAATGCACTTTTTACCGTATTACATAGGATTTATCATTAGATGAGAGTAACAGATGAATTTTTGGTCCGTTGGAGGAATTTGCACTGCTTTTGTTATTAAAATTGAATGCTATCGAGCACATTTTTTTTAAAACTCCTTTGATAGCTTATTTAAAAAATTAAATTTGAAGAAGCTTTTACATTTATACTTCGAATATTTAAATTATCCAATGAAAGTCCGGTCTCAAATATTTCGGATAATCAAGGCTCTACTCAAATTTTATGCATTGAATTATTGTAAATAAATTCTAAAAGTTACCTCCGCCAGAACGAGCTGAAACAGAAAAAAAAACAGTTACAAATATGCATTCTAAGAAAGTGTAAAAATATTATTTAGAGATATGGAAAACGGATATTTCTAATATGTTTTTAAGTTCTGTATTTTAATAATAGATTTCCTATGAACAGGATGACATAAACTTCTCAAAAACCTTTAAATCAGTTCTAATAAATAAAAATCATTTTGGTTTTCGAAAAACAATTGCATGCGTTACATCTTTAATTTCATATTGTCTATCTTCTTATGTTGTATTTTGTGTCTCATACATTGTTAAATTTATAAAACTATTCTCATATATTAAAAATTTATAAGAAATCATTGACTAAGAATAAAATTAATATTATCTAATACTTTTATTAATTAGTTTGATTAAGAATTTAATGTTAATTTCGTTTAGTAGTATTATGTAAGAAAAATTGTAGTCAATTATTTTGTAAATATCAGTCATTTTTTTTCTTTATTTTAAGTAAAACTTAAAGGAAGGTACTTAATATGATAAAATTCAAAAGATTTCATTTATGCTGTTAAATTATATTAAAGAAATAGAACTTTTGATAAACACATAGATACTTACACACTATCAGGTCTGTAAAGATTTTCGGAAGTATTACGTCTGTGGCAAGAAAAAAAATATAATATTAGTATTAAGAAATAAAACATACTAAATTATGAATAATTTGAAAAGCGAATTTCTTATTCATATCGTTGTGACATAAAATAACTATAAAATATGTATATACATTATTTTTTAATGTATAATATTTTTTAATATATGATGTTTATAATATTTAATGTATATAGTTTTTTCACATAAAATCAACTAACATTAGTTAAGTTTTCTGGAATTACTTACTGTCTTTAGCATCTAAAAGGAGAATAATGACGCTTTTTATTCATTATTAAATTTTCGAAATGTAGTTTTAATAATTCTAAATTTAAATTAATTTACATTTCCCCATAAATTAAACTATAAACCTATTTTTTTTAAAAAATCAAAATCATCGATAGAATTTAAAATGTTCTGAGCCTTTAATCAAAACTTTAAATTTCATAGTTCAAGGCATTTATATTTCTGGTACAATTTTTATTAAATTAAAATGCTAGCATTTTTTCTTCATCATCAAAAAAGCCGTAAAAATAATTGAAATATTTAACAACAAGAAATTAAACATTTCAAGAGTAAAAATGAAAGCATGTATCAGTTAGAGAAGAAATTAATTGAGGAAAGTAACGATTATTTCAATTCAGACTACATTGTATTATTTAACTTATTTATCTCTTTAATAAAAAATAGCTTGGACGAATACTTTTATTGTAACATATCACAAATTTATTTGGAAGATATTTTTTGTTGGTACTTCTTTGGTAAACAAAAAATTAGATCTTTCAGTAGGATTCTGCTCTAGCACATAGAGTTCATAGTAGCGCATAGAAATAAAGGTTAAAGATACCTCTTTGACCTTTACTTCTTTAGAACCAAAAGTACTAAAGGGATAAAGTTAAAAGTACTTAATGGAATAATTTACATTTTTCTTATTTTTTTAAAGTAAAAATATGGCCATTTCATTAAAAAAAATTGAACTCGATCAATTCTACTGCTTTGTCCTTCTACTAAACCTTCAAATTGCCGGAATCCATTCAAATCTTTATTCAAAGGAATGGAGCAAAATATAATTAGGTGAGATGTGACATATAACAGAAAACTCCAGTCTTGCATGCAGCTGTGCATTGCATCTAAGTTGAACAATTTATAAATTATGTTTTCATGTGTATTTAAAAGCTAAGTTGTGATATTTATGGACATTAAAGTCTGGTACAACACGTGTCTAAGTTACATTAAACGCCATAATATTTCAAAATCATTGTTTTTATTTTCTAATGGACTCAAAATAACTAAATGTAGTTATTGTAAAAGTTTTGTTTAAACAGCTACGATTCTTTAAACAGCTACATATTATTTCAAAATCATTGTTTTTATTTTCTAATGGACTCAAAATAACTAAATGTAGTTGTTGTAAAAGTTTTGTTTAAACAGCTACTATTCTTTAAAAGGAAATGATTACATGAAAATGCATCTTAAACAGACCTAATTAAAAATCAAAGTTGCCAATTGGATATATATTTTTTTGAATATTTTTGGATAATAATGCTACTTCATGCGTTTTCGAATCATTTAGTTCTTGAAAATTTACTCAATATTATTGTTTTGATTATTATAAAAATTATTATTTTGCTTTCGATAAAAATCAAGAAAATAGGAGAGATGGGTGTCAAAAGATTATGAAACCCAAACATTAATAAAATAAATATTTAATTATGTATGCACTGTAAGCATTTCCGGATCCAATTATGATATAAATTAACGTTACTTTGGGAAGTAAATAATAAATTTCACAATAATAATTTAATTAGATTGATTCATCAATTTTGTGGAAATTATTAGTGTAAAAATTATAGTATATCAGATTTTTTTGTTCCGTAACAGGTTCCGGTAAAAATGAACTTTGCGATAAAAAGTTCGCGATTGCCAAAATCAAATTTTGAACCAAAATCAAAATTTGAACCGAACTCAAATTTGGAAAAGTGCTAAGATAACCAAGTTCAAAATTTTTCGTCATATGAGCTTATGAAATATGAATTATAACTGAATGTATGAGTGATATGTATAAATGAATTTATGAATTATGATTGAATATGAATCATAATTGAATGTATGAGTGATATGTATTAATGAATTTAAGAAATTATGATTAAATATGAATTATGATTGAATGTTAATAATAATTTAACATGAATTATAATTGAATATAAATTATAATTATGAATTATATTAAGTTTGACATTTAATAGAAAATTGAAATGGAGAAAAAGAAACATAAATGCAACGCATGACTTCATCAGTTGGCAACCTGCATGCATTCATGTAGAAACTTTTTTGTGAATAACTGTTAAACAAAACGAGAAAAGTTTTTTGTGTGTCAAAACCCCATTTGAAAAATTACACTAAGAGTAAAATATTTAAATTTAGACTTAATACATGAAAATCAATATTATTTATGATCCAAAAATGAGCAAAGTATACAGGTAAAAATTTCATTCGATTCCAAAACTTATTTTGTTTTGAAGTGGACAAAACTGTCAAATTATTTAAATACACGATGTTGCTAGCAGAAAGAGATAATAGAAAAATTTTAACTGCGAAATTAAAATTATAGATTATTATAGAACGAGCCAAAATGTAATTATCAAAATGTAATCACCAAAATGTAATGAATCAATAATGTGTGCTGACATCTATCAAATGGATTAAAATGGAAACAATTCAAGAGAGTTTTTATTAAGAAATAAAACCCACACATCAAGCTGGAAGCGTTTTCGCAGATAGAACCGAAGTCTTTCAGAAGTTACAGCTCAATATATAACCGCTATTAACTATCGCAGCCTAATTGATATATAACACTAAATGTGTACCTAAAAACTAAAATTTAATTCTTAAAAAAAATTATTATTAATTTTTTTAATTTTATTTATGTTTTTTTTTGTTTTCTCAAAATCAAGTTCAAGTTAATTCTAGTAAGAAGTTCAGTTTTGATGTTCATGAATCAGAATGAGATGCTTAAATAATAAAGTAAGAAACATACTTGGATTGACGTTGTACACTTGAATGAAAATTATTTTATTAAAACATATAAAAAAGCAAAACTATTTTTAAAAGCGAATTTCAAAGTATATAATTGATATTTCGATGAAATTGTGAATTGAACAATGATGAAATTGAATACAAATGAAATTGAATAGATAATATCACAATATATAAATAAAAATTAAAAGATTTGAAATGTTATTGCGGATTTGAAAATCATTATTTCACACATCAGTCAACAAGTCTCCGGTTTAGCTAAAATAGTATTTAGAAATTTGATTTTATTTGTCAAAACTTTACCCTTTAAGATCGATACACTCATTCCAACGCTCCTGTAACTTTTTTGTGCTTTTTCTTACGAATGAATTGTCTTTGCTTTCAAAATTTGTCTCAGTTCAGCAATAACTTCTTTATTTTACTGGAGCTTCCTTTTGAGGTTTTCAACGAGTCAGTACTCTCAAGGAGCTAGATCCGAAGAGAATGGTAGGTGGGGAAGTAATTCAAAGCGTAATGTTTTCAATTTAAAGATCGCTCGCATCGACTTGTGACAAAAGGCATTTTCTTGGTAAAATAGAACTTTTTTTCTATTTACATGTGAGGCTCTTGTTTTCTTGATTTGCTCACTCAGTCGATCCCTTAATTCATGCAATATTCGCTATCAATAGTTTTATCTTTTTCAAAATTGTCAATAACAAAATAAAGTGCGCGTCCAAAAAAATGGAAACCGTAATCTTTCTGGCTGGCTGACTTTCGATTTTTCAGTCGATCTTTTCAACTTTACCGACTGCTGTCCACTCAGCTGAAAATCTTTTTAATTCAGGAGTGTAGTTGTGGATCCATGTTTTGTCTATTATCACATAACGACACGAGAAAATTTTTTTATCCCACATTAACAGTTCCAAAACGTGTTCTGAAATTTCAACACGTTCCTTTTTTGGTCCGATGTGAGTGAACACGGAGTCAATTTCAAAAGCAACTCGCTATTTTATGAACTTTCTTGATGTTTTCTGGAACAACTGTTGATTTCAGATGACCAGAGCGTTTAGTATCTTCAGTTTCATCACGAACACTTTTAAATTCAGCATACCAGTCAATCATAGTTGACTTCCTTGGTGCAGAGTTTCCATAATGCTTATCAAACCACTGTTTCACTTCAATAGATCGTTTCCTCATCAAAAAACATTGATACTTAATCAATACACGAAATTCTTTTCAACCAATGTTTCAAAAATTACGAAACTGTGGTCACTAAAACCTCTTGAAATCTCTACACTAATAATCAGAATGTCATGAAATTTTGACAATTATCATTTGAAAGTTTCTACTATCCAAAAATCATATGACTCTGTTAACAATAGCTCCATTACGAGTCAGACCGGATACTTCTTGTTTAACTAATAAACTTCCTTGTTTAACTAATTTGCTTTCGATATTTTTAATATAAATGATATAATTTCCATATTTCTAAGTTGATTGTAAAGAAAATGCACATCTTAATTATAAATATATATAAAAATATTGTATTTGAAAAATTAAAATTCAGTTCAAATGTTCTCAACGGACTATTTTGAAAAACAAATTTTAAATTTCAAATTAGCTATAAAAATTATTCATATTTTAAAATATTTCTTAATCTTAACATATGCTTACATTAAAGTAATATGGAAATGATTTCAAATAGCCGTAGAGAATACTTAATACAATAGTCTTTACAGTATTCAGTTGACAATAGTTTTATACTCACATGGATCAATTGCTTCATCTGAATGAAGAGAAAAGAATTATTTAGTTGACAAGATAGTTTAAGGTAAAAACTATAAATCGTTGGTAATGTTTTTTAATCACAGCTAAAATACGAGTTATAGAAACTGGATAAAATATAAAAGGTTTATTTATGGTGTTAAATGATGCATTCAAATTTTTATGGCAGGCATTACTCTTTAAAAAGATGTGTATCAAATCATTACAAAACATGAAATTTAAGAAAAACTTGCTCACGGTCGACGATCAAAAAATAAATCTAAAATTCTTGCCTTTAATTGAAGCAATAAAGAAAAAAGAAAACAATGGGGAAAAAATATGGCCACCGAAGCCAACGTCTTCAGGGGGTACCAGCTCCAGAAGCCATAGAACAAAATCTTTTCTATTGATAGAGCCAGACAAATGTCAAACTTTACTCCCTCAGTATCCCTCAGGTTTTGCCAAAGTCCAGGAAAAATACAAGAAATACATGAAATCAATTTAGATGAGAAATTTCATACAAAATCTTGAGAATATAATACAAAAATGAAAATACAAAAACTCACAGTAAACTGGTCAAACAGCAATTTCATGAAATTAACTCAATGTAAAAGAAACATTTGGAATAAAAGAAAACAACGCCCTCTATTAAATTGCTAAGTAGGAAGAAAAAAGGATAGGTAAAGTAAAGATTGCGTAAGATAAAGATTGCGTATGGTAAAGATTGCTTAAAAATTACAAAACTTAAGAAACTTAATTTAAGAAAACTTGCTCATGGTAGATGATCAAAAAATAAATCTAACATTCTTGCCTTTAAAACTAACCTTAAGGGTATGCCTAAAGACGTTTCCATATTGAAAACTTATTTTGATTCACTAAATATTTTTTTTAAAAATACTATGGCCATAACAGTAACTTAAATAACTGAATAAACGCTTGATCTGTAATCTGTATTTTCCTTAAACCCACATTTTTAGATGTCCCATTTTTTAAGATGCCATATTAAATAAAATCCATTCTAAAAAAACGTAAATCAATTTTTGTCTAGTTTTTTAAACACACATGCAATCCTAATTAAACTCAAATTTTTAGCTATTATGATATACTTTGTGACAAAACGCAAATTATGATATATTATATCATAATATCTTTTTGAAAAGCTCATCACAAGATATGTCCTTTTTGACAAACGTCCATTTTGAGCTAAAGACTAATATAAGAGTTTCACCGAGAAACTACTTTATTAATATCGAAAAAACTTATAAATTTAAGAAGTGCATAGAAATATTGCAACACAACTATATATATTGTAAAAATAGTTCATTGTTCTTTTAAAAACAGAAGTACACTTCTTCTTCGAGAAAAAAAAAATTTTTGATAGTGACAAGTTTAAAATGTTTGGTATAAAATACCAACTTTATACCAAAATCTATAGCTGACGTAATATATTTTTTTATTCCTATTAATTATTTTATAATTTTCTGAATATCTTCATTTATAGGTGCAAGATAAAAATTATACTTAATAATACTTTTTTACGATACTTTATAACCAATTTTAAGGTAGCTAAATTGAATTAAAAAATATATGCATGTGCATGTTATTAAAAATATTACAATATTGTTTATTCCAACAGTGCATAATAATGTTGCTTATGATGTTATCTCAAATTTATTAAAAATTATCAAAATAATTATTTTATACTATATATAAAAAATGGTTAAAGAGTGCGAAATTCCTTTTAAATTGGTCATCATTGACTAAACAATTGCAAAAATTCGATTCTATGATCTATTTCTTCCTAATTAAATCCACTATTTGTACTAGAAGCACGTTTTTTAATACAATTTAGTTGTCGAAGTTGAATTTTTTTTTAAATTTTAAACTTCTTTAAAGAAATAGAAAGGCTGATTATGAGTCTAAAAATGAAATTCTAAAAATCTATTTGACCTCTCTGTTCTAAAATATTTAATTTTAAAGTTAACGGGATTTTTTATAGTAATATGTCATTTCAAAGTTAACTAGTGCTTCAAGTTAACGGGATTTACATATCTGTACGAAAGAAACTAGATCTTTAAATTGCTCTTTTGTAAAGAATTTAAAATCTTACCAACTGGTCCAACTGTGAAACAATAAATATTTGAGTTTAAAAAAAGAGGTATATTTTGCAAAATATAACATAAATGAAGAATAATATTCATAGATGTGAAGAATTATAGAATTTTCTGATTTATAATGGTATCCAATTGAATTGATATGTTGCTTCTTTTCCTTAAACCATTTATTTTTCTTATTTACTAGTTTCTCAAGTACTATTTGGATTATGTTGCTTAAAACTTGGTAAAACCTTTTATGACTTATAATGCAATATTTTTTTAATTTTAGACAATTAAACACCAAATAACTAATATAAAAAAATTAAAATAACGAAAAATGCAATTAACGTTGAAGGGTGTTCAGTTTTGACCCCTCGCTTGGCTTAACAATTAGGACCATATTTTCCCGAATCCGTCACCTTTCATATTCAAAGTTTAAAGAATCTAATTTTATTACGAAGGATTCATGCTAATTCATAAAAAATACGAATTTGCGACGGATCTTTTAATTAAAATATCACCTGAACAAATTGGTTTTCACAATTAAAATTAAAATCAGAAGCAATTTAAAGATAAGTAAGTGAAAATCCGATTATTACATTAAAAGTTATTATGCTGTTCATTCTTTTTCTGCCCACAATTATCATGAATATCGGATCTATTGAGATCTAAGCTAAACTACCTCAATAGTTTTCAAAAAAAAAGTAAAATTACTGTTGCTGCAAATTTAGGGATTAGTGGTAATTGAATGTTCAAATCTTGTGACAGCACTTTGTACAGTGCTAAAAAAACTGATTAACTTTTGATCTAATGATTGGATCTTTACGTTCTAGGACTTTTTCTTAATGACTCGAGGGGATGTCTACAAATATGATAATTAAAAAGTACAGCCGATATTTTAATTTAAGATATCAGGCAAAAAGAACCTACTTTCAATACATAAATATGCCTGTTTTCGATGAATTCTAATCCCAAAAATAAAGGGGGTAGCTGGCTGGGATCTGGGAAATATGGCCCCAGTAGTTCCGTCAGGAGAGTTCTCAAAAGTTTGACCCCTTAATGTTAATTTTACTTTTTGCGTATTTCGCTATATCTCGAGAACTTTTCAAGCGTATAAAAAAGTTTTCAGCGCAATTATAAAATCCGTTTATCCAAAGATAATTCTAGAAAAGAAAATAACTTTTAGTAAATATTGATTATTTTTTATTATTGTATTTAGGAATGATCAAAAAAATTCTGAATTGTAAAAAATACATTTTTTTTGTATAATTTTAAGAAATATAATTTTACCTGACAAATACAAAATTTAGCAAAATCGGTTAAATACTTCCTGAGAAATTGAACTTCAAAAAAGTCAGACATTTAAAATTGAATTTCTCAGAAACTATTCAACTGACTTCGCTCAAATTTTGTATTTTGCCGCATAAAATTGCATACTTTAAAATGATGTAAAATTTGTATAACTTACAATTCAAATTTTTTTCGACTATTATAAATAAAATAATAATAAATATCTACTGGAATTCATTTTTTGCAAGGAATTATCCTTAAACAAACAAATTGTATAGTTGAATACGCAAATACGCAAAATGTAAAATTATCATTAAGGGGTCCAAAATGGTGATCGCTCTCCTGACAACACTATGGGACCATATTTCCCAGATTACAGCAACCCCTATATTTTGGGGGTCAAAGAACCAAATCCATTGAAGAAAGGTAAGGTCATTCCAAGAATGTATAATTTTGTGTCTGATTTTCGTAACTTAAAATATCGTCTGGACTTATTAGTCAGCATATTTGAGGTAAGCCCCTCCAGCCATTAAAATTGAGACCTAGAACGTGCAGATCCGATCATTTGATCTTCAGTTATTCAGAATGATTCGTTTTCTTTTTTTTAAGCACCGTACATTATTTTTTCTGATGAAAGAAGCAATGTAATCACTCCCATGCAATTTATATCAGCATAGCTTAGTACTATTCTATTTTGAGCATATTCTTCTTAACACAACTTTACTTTCAATATAAATATTTTTTGACAACTGGTATCAGTAATCGTTATGCTCCACTTTGCTGCCGTATAATCTTAAGTGATGCCGCTGGTATCGTTTCAGTATTTCTAACGCTATCTTACTCTTTGGCCACTCTTCGAACAACAATTATAAAGAAAATATGTAACATAAAATTTTTTTTATAATATTTTTTCCTTTATTTTACTCTTGAGAGCATTATTCGTAAAACCTTGTTTGAGCTTCGAAAATGAACTAATTCGAATTTTGAATAAAATTAAAAGATTAACATAAAGTTTATTTATAAAGCTTATTATAAGAAATTCAATTGATCTATATTCATATTATTATCATTATTTACAAGTTATTTATTTTTTATTAGTACATCATTTTTTGTCAGATGTGAAGAAATAAAATTATGATTTGTTTATGTTTTTGGTTGAGTTTTGGTTTGCATGTGTTTGGTGGGATATGTGATTCAACAATCTGAAAATTTTGAAATCTGAACAAAATAAAAAATATTCTAATTGCTTGATATTTAGAGAACTGGTATTTCATCTACAATTTCAATTAATTACATTAAAATGAGAAAAGAAATTTTGAACAAAACGCTTCTCTTCACTCTGAAGAATAAAGTTTTACGCTTAAAATAGAGTCGTATTTCAAAACAATGTTTTGATTGTAAAATAAACTCATTAAGAATAAGAATCCAATAATGTATAAAAAAAATTTAACACGAGGAAATAATTTAAAAAATGTATTTAATGAAATTCTAATTTTTCCTACATAAAATAAAAATATTTACAAATAACTTCACAATAATGATAATAGTTTAAAACATATAAACTAAATAATGTACATGTTACCGGCAAAGTATGAAATCCGGAATTATATAGAATGCCTTGCCTAAAACTAGGCAAATGTTTACCGGGCAACGGCACTTGACCTTAAAAAACATCAGTGTAGGGTTTACCGGGCAAATGTATACCGGGCAATGGCAAACTAGACCTAGTATAGATTTCGGACATTTACCAAAGGTCTAGTCATACTAGGTCTAGTTAAGTGCCACCGCCCGGTATACATTTGCCCGGTATATCCTACAATGATGTTTTTTTAAGGTTTAGTGCTACTGCCCGGTATATCCTACACTGATGTTTTTTAAGGTTCAGTGCCACTGCCCGGTATACATTTGCCCGATATACCAACACTGATATTTTTTAAGGTAAAGTGCCATTGCCCAGTATACATTTGCCCGGTATACCCGACACTGATGTTTTTTAAGGTCAAGTGCCATTGCCAGGTATATATTTGCCTGGTATATCCTTCACTGATGTTTTTTAAGGTTCAGTGCCACTGCCCGGTATACATTTGTCCGGTATATCCTACACTGATGTTTTTTTAAGGTCAAGTGCCTTTGCCCGGTATATATTTGCTCGATACTCCAAACACTAATGTTTCTTCTAATCTATCGTCATTAAGTGTTAAAGTATCGAATAAATGTAATTATACCCACGAATAAATTTATATCAAAACGGATGTAATAAATATTTCTGACATTCACCAAAGCGACTTTGTGATTGTTAACATTCACCAGTGAAAGTCAACAACCACCGATTTCGGTCATTCACAGTAACATTACATCATTTGCATAATAACCTCATCAGAACGTTTATTTCATACTTTGCCTAAATAGCATTTGTCATTCTATTGAATGCCTAGGCATTATATACAATGCCTAGGGAAAGTGTGTAATACTTCTCATATTTCATACTTTCCCTAAAAACGTCCAGCATTATATAGAATGCCTAGACATTCTATATAATGGCGTCGTTTCATACTTTGCCAGTAACATATAGAAACGAATTAAACAAATGGTATTGTGATAATACATATCGGTTTTTAAAAAGATTCAATACGATTCAAAAATATATTTTTGATAGCAGCTTATAACAACTACTAATAATGTTTCTTTTTACTTACATGCATCGAATCTGGTGTTTCTAAAATCTAGATAAATAATGACTTTTAGCTAATATTCATATAGTATTTTAGCTAGTGATTTAAGTAAAACACTGGTTTCTATACAAGTACATGCACAAATAACAAAATTTACCCAGATGTGTTTACATTACAATAAATACTACGTCATATTGGAATATTCCTGTAAAATTTTTGGGGGGAAATTCAGCTAGAAAAGAATATTTGGTGGAAAAGAAACTGGAATATAGCTATATTAAAAAAAGTAGTGGAAGATGATACTAAATGACATTTTAATACGTTATAGGAAATCAGTCTTAGGAAATATAAAAACATTGTACAATTATTTTCTGGAAAGTAAATTAGTCTTCTATTAAATTAGTCTATGAAAAATATGTTTCGTAAATAGCCTCACTCTATATATGTATATATATTTATATATATTATGTCGCACAAAGCTATTCACAAAACATGTTTTCAAATACTTACCATCCTTTTTATATACTGGTCTTTTCAAAAGAAAATTTAGTTTTATGCATACGGCTGACTATATAATACTTTTACAGAATTTTTATTTCCCTAAACTTTCCACATTTTACACTTTACACAAGACTTCCTTAATCTGAGAATAAATTCAAAAATTACAGATTAATGTTTTTTTAAATTAAACATTTTCATCAGAAATGTTTATTTTTTAAATTTTGTTCACGTTTTTAAAAGTATATTAAAAAATAAAAAAAAAACTGATTTTTTTAAAATTTAAACTGGATGCAATGATCAGTAATCAAGAAAATCATTTTAATGACTTTCGGATTTTATAACTAAAGTCCCTGAAAATTAAATGCTAACAAACCTTATAGTCTAATTTTCTCATATTCTATTTTATTTTTTGACTCATAAAAATAAAAACTAAATGAAAAATCATTACATTATCTCTTAATTAATCAAAATGTTACCGAAAAAATTTTATGAATGTGTAATAAAATAACTGAAGCCTTTTATAGTATGAAACATTAAGTAGTTTATAGTCATAAGAATATATTTACAAACATATTCTATGTAAATATATTTCGTAAGCTTACGTGTACTATTGAGATCTAATATTACAGGAATATTTATCACCTGCGTCTAAATCGTATGGATCAGTTTTTAATTTTAAGCACTTACTACTTTAATTTCAGTTACATATTACGTAGCTAAATATCAATTATATCAGATTTAGGACAAGTGAAATGAACTCTTTCTTATCACTTGTTTCTCCATTTGTTCAACAGTATTCAATGAAACTTTGTATCAATATAAACTGGTTGTTTCTGAGCTAGACATAATGAAACAGCATTTAAATATAATGTTACAATTAAAATATGTTTGTTTCTTTACGAAAAAATAATTTTCTGTTGTCTATTAAAGGAGTGTTAAAGTAATATTTAAAACTTAAAGTATGTTAGCATTACTTTTTTTATATAAAACCCAACATAATTTAATAATTTAGAATATCACTTAGGAATTAAATAAGATGTTAAATAAAGAAACATTAGATAAAAAAAACTTCCTTTTTCCGAAGGAAATTTAATGGAACAATTATAATCTTATGTAACAAAACAGACAACATGTGACACTTTATACTCACAAGGGTCAATGAGTTTATTATCTAAGTAGGAAAATAAATTTAAGTGTGAAAAAAACTGTTAAAAACAAAAGTTAGCTCAGAAAAACAATGATTTATGTACCAAACATATCAATAAGAATAACATAACATTAAGAACATAACATTACCTTAATGCATATACTTAACACAACATTAAGAATAGATATACCAGCATGTATTTTTTGACATGTGTGCGGAAAAAACACAGAACGCAACTTCAATAATGCGGAAAAGTTCTTTTAAAAACTAGAGAAAAATATGACAGAAAACTCAGATATGAATTATTCTGTCATTTAGGGTTAAAGGCATAGAGATTACTTAGAACGATTATTGCTTAATCAGTTAGGGCTATTGCTTATAGTAGGAATATATTGAGTCTGATTTTGAATTTTCATGTCAGAGTTTCTTGTTTTTGTAAAATTTCGGAGCATATTTTATTACATTAAAGGATTTTTTTCTTTTAATTGACCTAATCTATATTCTATTTTAGATTTGAAGGGTTTTCATGGCATTCTATAATATTTGAAATACGTGTTTACTTTTGTTTGTACGCAATATTGTTATCTGTAAAAATGCATTTTAGGAGATAAATTAATTTATTTCAAACAAATAATACATATTTCAATACTAACAACGTTATTCATAGATTAAACTATTGTAATCACATAAGTTTTAAGGATTAATATATCGTATTTCTTTTTTAATTTTGCTTAAAATATAAACTCTCTGAAACAAAATTGTAAAGAAAATACTACTTACACTATTTTTAATACTAAATGTTTTGATCAGTTTATATACATTTATTTTAGACATTTGTTACAATTTCATCAATGATCATAAGCCGAGTATTGAGGGGCAACTTAAATCCCCCTAGCTTATTTTTTACTCATTTAAGAAAATATTCAGCAAGTAGAAAAAGAGTGAATGTAGATACCTAAGTTTTATAAAAATTTAAACTCTAAAATAATAGTTCTTAAATTGGTAGATGCCTTACATTTTAAAGTGGAATAGTTAACCATGAATGATGGGGCATAGTAAAATATATATGATTTGTCTTTCTGAAAGTCATTAATTCTTCTTGAAAGTTTATTTTTTCTACTTTTTATTTGATTAATTTGATTAACTTATTCAATCTTATTTCATTGTAATGTATTTCTTCTACTGTAGATTTCTGCACAAGTTATGGTTTTTAATTCTTTTAAAACATACTTTCGCATTATTAAGTTAACTTTCTAATTGAAATAAAAATATTACGTTCATACAAATTAAGCTTATAAACCAACAATGTAATAATCTTTAGCAAATTTATAATATCTGTTTTAGAATTATTATGTGCGTCTTACTATTTACAGATTTTTCCATTTTATATCTTGGAATTTTCTGATTATTGATAAAATAGTTATTATAATTAAGTGCAATAGCTATCAACAATGGTTATTATAATATTTATTAATAATCGTTATTATAATAGTTATTAAATTATTAATAAAATAGTTAGTCTGATTATTAATAGTTATAGTTATTCAGCTTATAAATAAAATAGTTATTACATATTTTCCACTATTACTCATCCAAAAGAAAATCTATGTCTACACAATAATTTTGATTCTATGATTACATATTTTAAATTCATATTTTATGCATGTTATTGAATCATAAATGGTTTTGTTTTTTGAAATAAATTAAAGAATATATTTCAGTTGAAAACTTTTTTTGATCAAAATAAGCATCACTTACCTATGGGTCCATCTGTGAAACAATGAATATTAAAATAAAGCAAACAAACAAAATGTAAAGATATAAAACATGAAAAAATATCATTTTTGAATTATTTAATTCGCCAATAATTTGTTATTTAATACTTACAGGGGTCAAATCCATCATCTAAATAATAAAATGAAAAACTATAACTTCTTCATTTAAATCAACAGAATTAGGAAATATGAACTTAACACCTTTAGTTCAGAATTTTCATCTAAAGATTTTGTGTTTCAAGTTAATTATAACTATATATATTTTCTAAATAATCAAATACTTATTGTGCTAATTTGTAAGGAATTAAAATACTTACCCATTGCTCCAACTGTGAAACAAGAAATATTTTAATTTTAAAGAAAACATAAAATGAACTACATAAAATTTAATTGCGTAGAATAAATGTTTCAAATATTACAAAATATATGTTTTTATAAAATTTAGTTTAAAAGGTAAATACTTTTTTTTGTATTTTTCTGAAAACTATTTCTCTTTTTTTTACGAGTACTGGCGTGAACATATTAAAAAATTTAATTATGATATAATTAAATATTATATGTAATGGGTTACATTTAATACTGTATTGAAAAATTCAAGGAGTAAATTTAACACACTAATTATCTTTGAGATATTTATTTAACTGTGTTTTGAGAGATATATTTGTGAATAGATATGGATATAGAAGCACATTTCAAAGAGAAAAAGCAATAAATTTTACAATAAAAAAAGCTTATTCTTTGCATTTGAGGCAAAAATATTATCATTCAGATATTAACAAAGTTTTAAACAAAGTTTTAAACAAACTTTGAAAAGAAATGCTTATTATTCAAATTAATTTATACTGATTCCGAAAGAATTTATAAAAATAAAATTATTTTTATTTACAGAGAAATTTATTTTATTGTGTATCTGTCTCTGTCATCTATATTATCTAAGTCGATTAAAATATTGTTAAAAACACTCAAAACAACATTCCTTTACTTTAGAGCGTTTTAGAAGTTTTGAAAGATTCTAGAATTAGAATACGTGATAGAAGAGAAATATTACATAGAAAATCATTTTATTCTTACAAAAAAAGTATTTTATTTGATTAAATTAATGATAAGACTTTTCCCCTTTGTATGAGATTTTATATAATATTAAAGTGGTTTCAACATTTTTGCACTTAATCCTCAAAGCGTTACGCTTACACTAAACTCCAATGACAATCGATATTATATATCCTACTGTTTACGCGTACAAAAAATACACACTAAAATAAGAAACATGTCCGGAAGTTACCGCTGTTGCTGTTAGTTATTCGTTAATTAGATGATTCGTTAATTAGTTAGTTATTCGCTAATGCGATAATTCCAACGTTTGAATAAAACATTTGCTTTTTTATAATTTGTTCAATATATTTAAAGATTTTTTTTAAAGTTAATTGATTGATCTAGCATAAAGGTGCATTATAAATATCTTTTGTTTGAAGTTTTCCTTTGCAAAAATCCGTGCAAAAATCAAAAAATAGAAAACTTCACTTTTAACATTGAATTTTTGACTTCTTTTATCTGCAAGATCCATAATTTTTTAATGTGAATTCAGTTTCAAGCTAAATTATGTTCTTAAATTTATCTAACTTTGAAATATAAAATAAATAAATTGTATCTCCCTCAATAAAATAGTATGATTACTATCATTAATTAGATACGAATGAATACGAAGTAAATGAAGAGCTTAAATGTGAAAATAAGTTTAAAAATAGCGTAGTTTAGAGAATTAATTAGAATCAGATTTTTTATATCAAAAGTATAAATAAGAATAATTTCCCTTAACTGGTCATAGATAAAAGTTTTATTTTACGTTAAATATCTCTATAAAAATGAAGTAAACAGAATTTAGTGAACTTGAAAGCCTTCAATTTAATTTTTGATTCAACATGATTCAAACATTTATTTTTATTCACAGCTTAAAATAAAAGTTTTTCTACTTACAAGCATCAAATCTGCTATGTCTTAAATCTGTATTTTAAAAAAATTAATTCATTTGGGTTAATTAATATAATTTTTAAAAATCATATTTAAGAAAAATACGGCTTCGACACACACATACATACTCCAATACATAAAAACAAATAGGTGATATTTTAGGAAAACCTGGAAAAGCAACCATAAGAAATATTAAAAGAAAAGTTTCACAAAACAAGTTTTTTTTTGAAACACCGATATCTTCTTAATATCTCTTGACTCTTGATAAAAAAAAAAAGCTTTAAGCATGCAGCTGATAATTAAATGTTTTTAAACCTTTCATTCTTTCTCTAACTCCAAATTTTTACAAAAAATACTTCCTTTATTTGAGAACAATTTTAAATAGTTGTATTAAGTTTACGCATATTTTCAAAAAATTTTCGCGTTTTGATTAATAAAAGTAGATAAATGTATATACTTTAATTTTACTCAATTATTGAAATCATATTTAATATAATCATGCATCCAAGTTACAGAAATTGTGATTTTTACAATGATTTATTTAAGCATGCTTTGCATTTACGAAATAACAATGCCATACAAAATTTTCGTTTATCACTAACATAACAGAGTATTTAAAACTATAAAAATTAAAGAATTTTTGAAAAATAATTATAAAAATTATTAATTCATAGAAGTTAAAAAAAAGCTTCCTTTTTTGAAATATTTCTTAAGACTTTAGAAAAGAATTTTATAAAACTATAATTATGAAAAGTAAAATTTGGCAAGATTTTGAAACCGTACATAACACTATACAAAAATAAAAAATTTGCATTAAAAAAGCAATATTTTATATTTCATACTCACAAGGATTAATGGTCTTATATTCTAAATAAGAAAACAAAAGTTATGATGCACACAATACAAATTAAAATAAAAAGTATAACTACCCTATTTATTCAGAGAATTTATTAACCTAATATAATCTTAACCTATATAGAATTTATTAACCTAAAAATTTATATAACCTACCCTATTTATTAACCTTACATCTTTTAAATACGTAAGCAAGTTTGTATGTTTTGAAACTGCGTATGAAATTGAAATACAAATGGTAATATTTGTTCTGTCAGAATCAGGTCAACCAGGCTACGAGGCCAACAAATCAGGCCAACGAGATTGATTCATAAAGTTTTGATACGAACTGTGCGGTCTGTCACGGGCTACACAAAAGTGGTATACTTTGGCCACAAGATAACTTACACTACTTTTTCTGAGTACATTTTGGGCGCTGATTTTAACAATATGGTTTTCAGTTTAAATGCTAATTTTCATTGCATAAATTTCTTATTTTATTGAAGATTTTGAATCACATATTTTAGTTTTATGTGTCTTTTAAAAGTAAGTGTATAATAAAAGTTTCAACATATGTTTTCAGATAATTCTACATCAAATTAAGTCCCTAAACTCGTGATTTTGCGTCTTACGCCCTATAACAATTTTTAAATATGGTCCTAATCGATCATTTTATCATCGATTTACTTCAGTGATTAAATTACCATAGCGATTTTTTATATTTCTTTAATTCATTGTTGTTTCCTGTTCAGGGTAACAGTTTTTACAAAACTAGATTTTCCTGCCCTCAGGGCTAAATTAAGAGTTCAGAAGTCCAAAAGGACACCTTAATAAGAGACTCCTGATAGAAAAAAAGTATTTTCGATTTCAAGTAAATAAAAAAAATATTGATTTCGTAATTCTGTAACATAATTTGCGCAGTATATTGCAAATTTTAACCCTCCTAATATTGTAATTAATATAATATATATTAATTATTATATATTAATTAATATATATTACATATTTGCTGACATTTTAAATTTCAAACTCTCCCTTTTTCCAATCACCTAGCAAATATCCTTGCTCACATACTAGTTATATATCGTAGTAACACATGCTTCAGATGCACTAGTATCGAATTATAAATTAATTTTCATTTTAAATAAAATGAAACCTATTAACTCTACCGCGAATTAGAATAACTTACCTATTGGTCCAACTGTAAAGCAAAAATATTAAAATAAAGAAATCACATATGAAATATAAAGTATTCAAAATGTATAACACATGTTTTGCATAATTTATTTTTTATAGTTTGTTGCTTTTTACTCACAAGGGTCAAGTCCATTATCTAAAAATGAAACTATATTAGTTTAGCAGTTAAAGAAATTCTGTAAACAGATATAAATATTTCATTTCTATTGCGAATCATAAACATAAAATTTCAGAAGCCTGAAAACATTTATTATGCCTGAAGACGAACTTTTTTCATTTACTTCCAAATGAGACTTCTTATACTCTGTACGTGCCTTCTGTTTGATTCTTAAAATATTTCATTAAGGTGCTCAAGGTCTGTATTTAGGAAATAAGCTGAACACGGAAAAGATATAGCTATAACTTTATTCTTTACACTCAAATAAAAAAATTATTTATTTTGGGGTTTTTTTGTAAATGCATTTCACTATTAGCCGTCATTTATTTAAAATGGTTACAATCAAAAAATGCCTATCCAACAAAGGAAAAGGTAATATTTTGGACAATGGAGACTAAAACAAAAAACAACAGGAGTAAAGATAAATGCACATTTATGTACATTCATTTGTGCTTCATTCGCCTTTTTGTTTGCTTTAATAAAAGGTCTATTACTTTTCCCTATTCACAAGGATGAAAAGGAAAGAAATTTCAAATAAATATTAATGTGTTACCAATTTATGTTTTTTTTTTTCATTTCAAAAAATTCTTTTTTTATCGAGTTATAATATCACCCTCCTCTACTATTTGAAACAAATTCAAATTTTTTAGGGCATACTACATAAATAAATATCAGAAAACTCTGAGCTAAATCTTTCAAACAATCGTGGTCGTAAGTGATCGATTACAGTTAGAATGAGAACCACTTGACGGTTGAAAACTGTGCTTAAAAATCATAAAATATACTTCAAAAATACTTCAGTTTTTTAAAAAAAAATGCATCCATTTTATTTCATCGGGGGAAAAAATTTGTCCCAAAACATAAATTTATAATATTTTGGAATGCACACCAAAATGATATATCATTAATGCCAACTTTTTTTTGCAATAAATATTATTTTTTTACACTTCTTGAAATGCTAAATTTTCAATTTCAGTTTATTGTTAAATTCAGTAAAATTCATTTTAAGTACTAACAAAATTAACACAACACATATTCCAATCCATTTTTATTGAATTGACTTTAAAGTATTTTTATTTTATTTTGCCTGGAAATTGGGAATGAAGCTAAACTTGATCTGAATCCAATTATCTTATTCGTAAAAAAGACTTACCAATTGCTCCAACTGTATAACAATACATAAGTAATATATTAATTTCAATTACGAAGCAATAATAAAAATAGCATTAGAAATATTAAATATAATTTTTATAAATTATATATCACACAATTTATAAATTTATTTTGAATAATAAAAATAAATTTTAAAAAAATGCTTTTGTTTTTCACTTGTCACTTTATGCATGCATATATAATAAGCTCATATAAAAATGAAATAAGTTATTTCAAAAAGTATAAATAAAATATACTACCACTATTAAAATATATCATTCTGAGCAACTAAATCAATATATCTATTTTTTATAATTAAACATGAATCAAACAAGTTTTATTAAGCTAAATGTATTTTATGGAAAAAAAGTAACAATATGCACAAGAAACTCATTTAATATATATTTAATCAACATATTTTTAATACATATGTTTTTTCACACATTAAAACAAACACAATGTTATTCTACTTACAAGCATCAAATTTATTCTTTTTTAAATCTGTATAAGAAAAACAGTCACTTAAATATTGAAACTTTTATGTAATATAGATTTTTTGAGCTCAAAAAGATATGATAGGTTGTCAAAAAAATGATGATAGCTTAAATTCTTAAAATATTTAAAATAGGACGGTCTTACAGCAATGGTAAAGCACTTTAATTTTTTATAATTTCTCGTTTAATATTTGAAATATTTCATTACTCTTTTTCGAAAATTTAATGATAGCTGTGAATAGCTATTTCCATTTTTTTTATTTAAAGGAATATTATAAAAAATTCCTCTTATTTATAAGAACATAAAAAAAGAATATTATAAATTAAGCTAAAATATGAAAAGTATTTTTGGTATTTACAGAGTTATTATTTTATTTAAAAAATAATTTCCAATAAGTTAAACAATTTCAATCAAAAATAATAAATCAAAAATGACTGAAACTTATTTGTATCTCATTAAAATGTCTTAAAAAAATTACAATAAGTAATTATATACCAGGTAATTGAGCTGAAACGAAACAGAAAAGAATTATTTTATCTAAAGTCAAAATCAAAACTACTAATACAACACATAATCTCCATACAACATTAAAAAATTTTATCTACGAAGAATCTTTTATCTAGAAAATTTATCTTAAAAAATCTTCTCAGTATTAAATTTTATCTAACTTTTATTGATTAAATTTTGGTTTAGCATTAATATGTAAGTTATTAATAAGCAAATTTAATTTAATTTTCATTTCGTAATTTAAATTAGTCAGCTTACTTAATATTTAAAAACGTTTCCTATAGAATACGTTATGTTAATGTATTTGGTGTTCAAACTAGCTCAAAGACATTTTTAATAAGCGTATTACACAATTAGAAAATTATCTAGTGTGTGATACTCAACAAAGTGTTTCATGAAAAATTGTATCAATTTAAACAATGTGCAATGCATCAGAGTTTGATGTTTTATACTCACGAGGGACAAGCTTATCACCTAAATAGGAAAATAAAAACTATGATTCATAAGAAAGTGAAGAAATGAAACTATAACTACTCCATTATTTTGACTTAAGAAAACTATGAATTGTAAACTTAACATCTTTAAGAATGCATACAATATTGCGTATTGCGTTTATATATAAATTAGAATCACCAAAATTGATTGGATTCATAAAAATTATTTTTAAAGCTGGTGTAATAAAATATATATAATATATTTTTTTGAGCGTTTCACTGTTAGGTAAGGAAATAAATGCTTCAGCTGATTCAGCAGGTTCACTAGTTTCAATCCTGGCGATGACAGAATTGCCAAACATTTATACTATTTATATTTTTTCGAACGTTTGACGATTAGGTAAGGAAATAAATGCTTTAGCTGATTCAGAAGGTTCTCTGGTTTCAATAATGAAGATTACTGAATTGCCAAACATTTACGCTATTAATTTTTTTTAACGTTAAACAAGTGAGTAGGGAAATAAATAATTTAGCTTATTCAGCAGCTTCCATGGCTTCAATCCTGAAGATAAATGAATTGCTAATCACTTATACTATTTATATTTTTCCTAACACACAGTGCAGAAAACACGGAGCACCATGAAAGATTTTCAATCCATGGATGAGGTTCTAAGGTACTAAAATTCAATCTTAATGGTTTAAAGAGATGACCTAAAAGTCATTAATTATTTAGGGACGGCGATATTTTAAGTTACGAAATCAGACACAGAAACGTATTTTCTCTACTTAAACATGCATTTCGCTCGACTGCTTTGGATTTCTCAGCCTCAACATATGAAGAATAGCTGCAATTTGGGAAATCTGATCCCAAGCGTTTGGTTAGAAAAGCATTTGAAAATTTGAAAGTATCCTCCTGCCCTTTAAAAGTAATTTTACTTTTTGCGTAGTTAGTCATATCTTGAATTTTAAATATTCGAGTTTTTAAAAATCGGATTTCTCAAGAACCATTTATCCGCTCCATTCCAGAACCATTTCGTTCAAACTTTGTCAAATAAAATGACATTCCTTAAATAATGTAATATAAAATATGTTTCATTATTACTAAATATAAAAATTGAAAGAAGAAGAAATTTTTAAGAAATATTTCTTTTGGAGTTATGGTTAAACAAACAAATTTTATAATTGTGAGCAAAAAATCCTCTCTTTGCTTAAGAAGTTTCCAAAATGTGGCAAAATACTCAAAAAATTTAAATTACGGAATCAAAACTTTAAACGTCTCTCCTGATTTAATTATTGGGACCATATTTCACAGAGTGTGGTTACCTCCCTTATTTTGACAGTAAAAAAATTCAAGTCCGTCGAAAAAAAAGTATGTTTATTGAGAGAAAAAATGTTTTGTGTCTAATTTTTTAAATGAAAATCCATCTGCAAAACAATAAATGTTGTAATAAAAAAACCGCACTACAAAACGGTATAAAAATTCTAAATATATAAATAGTAACATTCCAAGTTACATGATATCTAATTTAACCATACGCTGGTAGAATTGTGGTAAACATAATGGCACATTTGTCAAGAAATAATGATTTATTTATTATATTCATATTATTTTCGAAAGATAGTAATATTTTCTAGAACTGCTATGTTTAGTTTAGTCAGTAATGATTTTGCACTTCAAAACTTGATTTTAATTTTCTATTTCAATTTTAAACTAATTTCTTTCTAAACACTGTTATGATAATTTTTTAATACAACTCATAGTCAAAGTTTTTCTAAATGCTTTTATGAGCTAATTCTGTGTTTAACACTGATCTGCTTTTAAAAATATTTGAAATCGACAATATTTCGAGTTACTAAATCCCAAATTATTTTGTGTTTTATTTTAAATGATATCGAATATTTTTGTGAAAAAAATAAACATTTACCGAGTATTAACAAAACTTACCCTTTGGTTCAGCTGGAAAATAGTAAGCATTAAAATAAAAAGCAACATAACAAAATTATATAAAAATTATGCAAATAATGACTGAAAGTTTTACAAATTACATTATATTTAACGTATGAATCTGATTTGTATTCTAAAATTCGTTATACCTAGGTCGAACAGTAACAAACGTAACAGCATATTATTCAGGAATCAATGATTTTGAATGATGAGAACATTGAATTCATTGTTATTTTTTTGAGATAGTAATACTTCTTTTAGAATTACTATGCTTGCATTTACATATTTCATTCATATCATAGTTGTAATACATTACTTCTTTCCTGAAACCACTTTCTTCCAAACATTGTTATGGCATATTTATTTATATAAATCATCGTCAAAGCAGGTAAAACTTTTCTGAAATTTCTTAAGGGCAAGTTTTGTAATTAACACTGATCTGCTTTTAAGACTATTTGAAATCGATATTCTTTGCATGTTGCGAAATTGCAATTTATTTCGTGTTTTATTTAAAGTGATATAGAATATTTTTGTTAAAAAATATTAGTCCAGTTTTGTTAAAAAATATTAGACCATTTAGTCCAGCTGAAAAATCGTCAGTATTTGAATAAAAAGAAAACACAACAAGACGGAATAAAAATTACGCATATAATGAATAGAAACTTCGCAATACATTGNTGAATAGTAATAAAAGTAACAGCACATTATTCAGGAATGAATGATTTATATATATATATTCATTATTAGTTTTGAGAGAAGGTAATATTTAGTTTTTGTTTAGTTTAACAGCTACAGATCTTTCACTTCAGCACAGTATTTCAATTGATTACTTCATTTTTGAACTATTTTCTTTTTAAAATTTTCATCACATATTTACTTATGTAACTCAGCTTTAAAAGATGAAAGAATTTTAAAGGCTAATTTTGCCTCAAAGTTTAATTCACAGAAAAAGTATTTGAAATTCGTCATCTATGTCTAACTATAAATGATTTTGTTTTTTATATATAATTAAACAGAATACTTCTATTATAAAACGTTATTTTTTGAACAAAATGAGCAAAACATACCATTTCCAGCTGAAAAGTGATCGATATTAAAATAAATATAACATCTCTTTATAACTGTAGAAGAAATAATTGATATAATGATAATATTTTTTGTGAGCTAATTCCGTTAAGTCCGTCCAGTTTGAATGTTAAAAATTTATCATTCTCTATTTTTATTTTTACTAGCTTTCAGAAAGTAAAAAAAATAATTCAAAACGAAGCATTATGGCTAGTTGATAATATGATTTAAAAAGAGGAATATCTTTAAAGAAGATGTATTATTAATGTTTTAAACTACTGTTTAGTTTAATTCCTGCAAATTTTGTAATTTGCTAATTTCATTCCTACTTGTACAACTATTTTTTTCGTGTATTATTATTACATATGTATTTATATATACTTTAGCGTTAGAGGAAATGAATTTTTCTGAGTAAATAAAATTCTGATTTTGAATCAAGGAGTGAATCACTTAAGTATTAGAAATTTATTTTCAGTGTATTACTTTCATTATATATTATTATCATGTACATTTATTATAGTATATATGCATCATTTCTGTGTAATGTTATCACATACTTTCTAAGTTTTAAATGAATTTGAAATTAAATGAAGTCTAGTATTTCACTAAAAAAATTCCTTTTTATTCAGAATTGGTTCACTCCAGCAATAGAAATATAGTGATCCTATGCGACCACCTTGGTATTCATTGGTGGTCCAAAAAATTAATATCTTTGACAAATTTGAGAAATATTGAACTTTACAATATCGAACAAGAGAGATCGAACTTTTCTATTGCATGATTGCATGATTCATGTTATGGTACACTTCAATGGTCATGAATTACTATCTTATTGCACCCTAAAACTAATCAGGTTCCTTATCCCATAATGATTGGACATTAGAATTTATTAAAATTTATTTTAAAAAAAGCTAAAATAATATTGGTAAATAGATTTAATACATAGATTAAAGTACTGAGACCAAATAAGTAAGGGAAGAAAACAGAAAAAGTAAGAACTAACAAAACATTACAATTATGCTACATTTACTAAAAATTAAGTTAA